ACTTCATTGTTCTCTTATTTTAAGAAATTGCCACAAGTCACTCCAACCTTCAGCAATCAGTAAGTAGCTATTAACATTGAGACAAGATCTTCCACCAACAAAAAAGATTCAACTCATTGAAGGCTCAGATAATGGTTAGCATTTTTTTTTAGCAATGAAGTGTTTTTAAATTAAGATGTGTACCTTTTTTTAGACACTAACTTATAGACTACAGTATAATGTAAACATAATTTTTATATGCACTGGTAAACCAAAAAATTCTTGTGACTCGTTTTATTGCTACATTCATTTTATTGTGGTGGGCTGGAACTGAACCTGCAATATTTCTGAGGTATGCCTATACTCTGAAATATTCCCCTATTACATACAAAATAAGACTGAGACAAGAACAGAATAGTCTTCACAGAAATCCTCAAACCACGAGATTTGTTCCTAGATTTCAAATCTTTAGACCAAATCTAGTTCTCACCCATGCCCAGACCTACCTCATTCACCCCTGATCTCTAGTCAGCTTAAACCTTTACCATTATAACAAATCACATATTAAGTGACTTTGTATTTATTAAATGCTCATCAAAACAAAACATTCTTCTAGGCATTTAACAGATCATTTAGGCAGACATTTTACATAGCCTCATAAACTAAAAATGAGCTAAGATGGAGAATATATGTACTCATGACATGGACAGAATAAAATCTAAGCAAATAAAGCTATTAAAGAAAAAAGCCATGAAGTAATTTACGATATAAAGGGCTAGTGCATTTAAGACAGTAGGAAGCTTAAACCTGGCCTGCTTTTGAAAGCTGTGTGAGTTCATCTTTTATTCAGATGACATCGAATAAAAGTGCTAACAGCAGAAATATCAAGTGCCTATTACCTTGGTCTCACCCAACCACATAGGCCTAACTTTACAATCCCTTCAACAAAGCAGAAAATTTATTTCTTAGGCTGTATGTTCAGGTTACTGATTGGAGAACACCTCCCCTTCCTCCCACCCTCGCCTCATCCAATATGAAAAGAATTCCTTGAGAAGGTGGAATTCCATTACTTACCTTGGATAATTTGTTCAACATGTAAAGTGTCAATTTATAAAACAGAGATGATCCTCTCTATTCTTTGAAAAGGCTAAGAACCTTTTGAGGATCAATTGTTAAATTACCGCTTATGTGAATATTTTCCCACAACTTTTACTCCTCTTAAGACTACAAAGCAGATCTATTATAAGCTTTGAAAGAGCAAATAATCAAGGAACTCAATGAAATTACAGATATAAAAACAGCATAGGTCATGTTTATAGCCAGACATCAACTTTGTAGTACTGAAATACTATTTAACTATTTGTCAAGCATTCAATTCAAGAAGCATATATTAAGTGGTTACTATACATGTTTTTAACTTATTCTATGTACTTAGTTAATGAGTATTGATCAACTGAAAAGTGGTACCCTTGAAAGAAATATTTGATTTCTCTGTGTTTTTGGCTTAGTTTAGTTCAACCTTACATATAAAATGAAATAACAAGTACTAAATGGTTAGACTAGATGGTCTACAAATTCCCTTCCAGCTATGATGTTCTGATTATTACAGATCATTCCCCTTTTCATACAAGAATAATTAAATTTGGGTAGGTATGATATCTCAGAAGCAAGTTTGCTAATGTTCAGAAATAGAATAGTTTCCAAGAGTAAATTATTGGGAATTCAGGTCCTTGAGAAAGGATTAGATCTTGCTTGTGGTATCCTTCAATGCCCCTTTCATTGTTTCACTCTGCAGATGAAAGATGAAGGGTTTCAGGAGGAGTGTGACAACACTGGAGAGGACAAAGATGATCTTGTTAAGATGAAGGCTGTTTTTCTGTGAAGGACAAACATGGACAAAGATGGAGATCCCATAGTCTATGGATACCACAATGAAGTGTGAGATACGAGTGGCAAAGTGGCTTTGCATTGACCTTGGCCTGAGAAGATCATCAGAATTGTGGAGATGATATAGACATAGGAGACCACAGTGTCAGTGAGCTGATGAGTAGTACTAGAGAACTGAGGAAGTCTAACAGTTCAATGAATTGGCACATGCAAGATGTGGTAGGGGTCCACTATCACAGAAGAAGTGGTCAATTACAATGGGCCCACAATATGGCAGCCCTCCTTTAAAGTTGGGAAGATGAGCAGAAATCTACCTAACCAGGATAAGATGACAAGTCAAACGCAGAGTGGATGGGTCATGATAGTGGGATATTACAGATGGTAATAGAATGATCATAAGACATGACAGCAAAGAGGATAAACTCAGTACATGCAGAAAGGAAGTGGAAGTAGTATTGTGCGCAGCCCCCAGCAAAGGAGATTTTTTTTCTCAGAAAATCAACCAGAACCTTGGGAACAGCACAGGTTGTGATTAAGATTTAACTGAAGGAAATGTGGCTGAGGAAGAAATATATAGGTGAATGGGATCTATAGTCCACCCAGATTAATATGACAATGAGAGAATATATATTTCAGTTAATTATTAGATACTCTTGAAGTGAGTATTAATGATATAAAAGCAAGAGGCTTCTGTGTAACCAACCAGGTTTTGGTCTTTCTCTTTCCTTCTTCCTGAATCATGCCTTCCTAAATCTATCTCCTCATCCTCACCCTTTTACTTTTTCATTGGTGCTACCAAATATTGGTATATTGATTTAATTTGTAGGATCTTAGCAAATTGTCTGTAAGTTTTCTCTACCTCTTCATTTTCAGCAACTAATGTTGGTACATAAGCTATAATCATTTTTATATTTTCATTATCATAATTAGTACTACAATACTAGACAACAAAATATTCTATGAAATAATATTTCTTCTTCTTGTTACTATAAAACCTATTCTGTCAATTCCTTTCCTTGCCTCTCCAAGGAGTACCTGTAAGCCATCCTTCCATTTAGCTATAATTTCCTTCTCCTGGTTTTATTTATAGCAAGAATGTCAAAAATTGATATGATTCAGTTCCTCCAGAAATATGACTGTGTGTTGGCTGTTAGACAAGGATCTAGCATTTAGAGCACTGGTGGTCAAATTAAAGTTTATTGATGGTGTAAAAATGACTGATTTTTAGCACCCTCTGCCTCATTTCCCTCCACTTCAGAATTGGAAAGGGGAAATACTGAAAGCCATTTTACATTTTTCTTTTTTTTTTCATGGTGAAATTATTCATGACCCTGTAGTCAACTTACTATTGATGTGCCTCTCTTATAATTAACTAGCTCAGTCTTTAGAAAACAGACTCCATCTGTAGCAGAAGCCATATTTGCATCCTTTCCAGAATGGTTGAACTTGCCAAAGCTAATGATCTGCTGGCATGGCCTTTGAGAGCTCAGGACCAATCTCATGCCACAATGAGACATCAGAGTAGAAATAAGTAGAAGGAAATAAGCATTTACATAATACTTAATATGTGCCAGGCACTGTTATAAGCAATTCACAAATATTATCTTATTTAATCCTCACAACAATCTGAAAGATAGGTGCTGTTATTCCACATTTTACAGTTGAGGAATTGAAGCAAATAAAAGCTAAGTGATCTGCCCAGGGCTACACAGCTATTAGGTGTCTGAGGCCAGATTTGAACTCAGGTCTTACTGACTCTAGGCCCAGTGCTCTATCCACTGTGCCATTTGGCTACTGAGTAGGACTGCATGGGGGTGAAAAAACACATTAAATTACTTGAGATGAACCTATGTTGGGCCATTTATTTCCAAAGTCTGTTGATTTGTGGAGTAAATAAATCAAGATTTTTTATCGTGGCCTTTTGATAAAATGTGAGTGCCTACCAATTGCATCAAAATGATGAATTATATCAGTGAATCATAAGTATGGCTTGATGATATACTTCTTTGTCAAAAAATTGGAAGTCAATTAGCACTCCATTCCCAATATTAAGATGTAATGATTAGAGTATATGTAACATTTTACAAATATAAGGTGTTTTATGTGTTCTTTGAGACTCATGGCAATGCTTTGAGGTAGGTATTCTGCATAGTTGTTCTTATTTAGTAGTTTTTCAGTCATGTTCTGGCTCTTTGTGACCCCATTTGAGGTTTTCTTGGCAGAGATACTGGAGTGGTTTGCCATTTCCTTCTCCAGCTCATTTTGCAGATAAGGAACTGAGGCAGTTGCCCAGGGTGACACAGCTAGTAAGCATCTAAGGCCAGATTTGAACTGAGGAAAATGAGTTTTCCTGGCTCCAGACCAGGCATTCCATCTGCTGCATCACCCAGCTGCCCTCGAAGTAGCAGTACCCTCATTTTGCAGATGAGAAAACTGACCCTCAGTGTGTAAGCAACTTGCTGAGAGTTATACCACATAGCTAATCAAGTACAGAGCTAAGACTTGAACCCAGGTCTTTTGACTCTAAGTTTATTGTCTGAATGCTCAAATGCCTTCTATCTCCAAAGTCCTGTGATTCTAAGGTATCATTCCATAAATATTCCTTTCTTCTTTCTGGCAGCTAGGGCAACTGTTTTGATAAGTGCTCAAGTTGATTCTATTTGGAAACATTGGATTCTCTTCCCAGGTGTTCCAGTGACTGTGAGATGTTTAAATTCAGATCCACAGGGTGAAGTACACCAAAGTTTTTGGTCTCGACCTATGATTTTATCAATATGAAAGTTTCTCCACCCAGGAAGATCTCTATTCATCTGTACATTTTATATGTTCTTTGTAGAGTTTTGTATTGCAAGTGACATCTTCTGGAGGAAACACTTATCCAAGAAAGGAAACAAAGAGACCTTTAAGGTCCTGTCAGTGTCTGTGAAGGTGCTGTGGCTAGCTCCAGATTGTTTCAGTGTTCAGTCATTTGAGTTTCTCTTGTTTACCTCCCCTTTCATTCATGTAATCAATAAACACTTATTAAGTGGTGAGTACATGCCAGACACTGTGCTAAGTGCTGAGGATGCAAAAAGAGGCAAAAGATAGTGCCTGCCCTCAAGGACCCAATATTACAAAGTAATTGCCATTTTTACTCACAATCTGTACATACCACACTTCTTCTTGATGACTTTTCTGAGACCCTCTTTGAAGTCTTTATTCCTTAGGCTATAAATGATAGGATTTAGCAGGGGTGTGACTACTGTGTAGAATATGGAAATGATCTTGTTGAGTTCAGGTGACTGATGGGCATTGGGGTGGACATACATGAAAATCATGGTCCCATAGTAGATAGCAACCACAGCCAAGTGGGAGCCACACGTAGAGAATGTCTTCATCTGACCAGAGGCTGAAGGAATCTTCAAGATTGAGGACACTATGAACACATAAGAGACCAGAGTAAGGAGAAAACAAATACACAATACAGCAATGGACAGGATGAAGATTGTAATTTCAGTGATGAATGTACTGGAGCAGGAAAGCTGCATCAGGGGTGGGAGGTCACAGAAAAAGTGATTGATTTGGTTTGGTCCACAGAAATTCAATTTGGAGATCATTAAGGCAGGCAGAAAGCCAGTACCAATCCCAGTTACCCAGGATCCCACCGCCAACTTGGTGCAGACTTCAGAGCTCATCAGGATAGAATAGTGGAGAGGATTACAGACAGCTAGATAACGGTCATAAGCCATCATGGCCAAAAGAAAGCATTCAGTAGCACCAAAAAAACAAAAAAGTAAAGTTGGATTATGCATGCTGAGAAAGAGATTGACAAGCCCTGGGAAAGCAGGTTGGACAAGAGAAGGGGAACAATGGTGGTAGTGTACCAGATCTCTAAAAAAGAAAGGTGTTTGAGGAAGGAATACATGGGTAAATGCAGCCGGTGATCCTGGTTCACCACTATAATGATTATAATATTACCAATTACAGTCATAATGTAGAATAAGAGGAAGATGACAAAGAGAAAATTTTGCCACTCAGAGATGTTCTGAAAGCCTAGGAGTTGGAACTCCATGATGGTGGTAGCATTCCAAGATTCCATTGCCTGTAAAAGATATTTGAGAAAAATTAGAAGGCATGAAGAACAGATTCCTATTTTCTTTTAACTATGCCTATCATAATAACATGTCCCCTGATGACATATTAAAAAATAAAGCACTCCATTTACAGATTCTACCATGATAATTTCATCAGTATTAGAGAGTTTCTAGTGAAAAAATACTCTTTACCAATGGAGATTATCACCAACTCAGAAATTTATAATCTTAAAGAGTTGGCTGGGTTGCCAAACTCCTATGGACAATGAGGACCTACCTGAACTCATTACTCAATGATTAACTTGCTCAGGGTTGTACAGACAGTATTTAGCAGAGATAGGCCTTGAACTCAGGAATTTCTGACTCCAAGGCTTGCTGTCTGTCCACTAAGTCAAGCTGTCTTCCCAAGTGTTATTGAAAGAGAAGAAAGGAGAAGGCAAGTTTTATAAATCCATGGAGGCAAGAACCAACCTTAGGAAACTGTCAAATTTGCTTATGAAGTAGTCATGTCTTCGGTAGTCACTTCCTTTTAAAGTGCTTTTTTCTTTGTCCTTGGTAGCAAGCCTCTAATGTCACATTGTCCAATAGTCATCTTACTAACTTCCAACTACTTGAAGAGAGCTACAGAAATTTGGTCATTTCACACCTCTTTCTCAGGATCCACCCAGAGTAATAGACCTTGGAGATATAACATTTTGGGGAGACTGCTTTTTGCTGGTTATAGCAAGACTTCTTAATTTGAAACTGTCAATTAAGAAGGAGAAACACAATCTCTCTCTCAAATGAAACTAATGGTCATAAAATTTGGCATAGAGTTTAGAATTCAGAAGGTATGGGGGTAAGGGGGGAAGGCAAGATGGTAGAGAAAAGGCAGAGACTTTCCTGAGCTCTCTCAAATTCCCCTCCAAATCACTTTAAAATTCTGGAGTGGCAGAATCCACAAAAGCACAGGAGGAAACAATTTTTCAGCCCAAGACAACTTAGAAGGTCTATCTTAGAAAAGGTCTATCATATGGGGTGAGAATGAAGTAATGTCCAGTGCAGGCCTCACCAGCCCAGACCTGGCCCTAACAAACTAGGAGCAGGCCTTGGAAGTGACTGAATCAGCATTGGCAGTGGCTGCTTCCAGAGCTCTCAGACCACAGATGGTAAAGGGTTTAGACAACTGGTCAGAAGATTACAGGTCTCCCTTTGCTGGCACTGGATGCAGGACTCTGTTACATTGCCTATACTTGGATCTGGGTCACAGTCCCAGAGTAAGAAGGGCCATTAGCACACTAGAGCTTGTGGCTATAGAGGAGCACTGATTCTGGTCATAGTTCTGGGGTAGAAAAGAGTACTTGTGGTCACTCACAGATGACAGCACAGTCCAGGAGACTAGTAAAGACACCTTGGAAGAACTGAAAACTTACAGACCCTCAGAACTAGCTCTGAAAACAACTGCACAAAAACCCCGAAGCTTGGAAAAGTGTTCCCTCCATCCTGGAAGCAAAACCCTGCTTCAGCATAGAATTAAAAGTCAAGAAATAGGCTGGGAAAAATGAGCAAACAACAGAAAAAAATTCTGACTATAGGAAATTGCTATGGTGACAAACAATATCAAAACATACACTCAGCAGACAAAAAAGTCAAAACTCTGACATCCAAAGTGTCAAAGAGAATATGAATTGGTCTCAGGCCATGGAAGAGCTCAAAATGCATTTTAAAAATAAAGTAAGAGAGGTAAGAGGAAAAAATGGGAAGAGGAATGAGAGTGTTACAATAAAATTAAGGGGGAAAATAGACAATTTAGTAAAGGAGGTACAAAAAATACTAAAGAAAATAAAACCTTAAAAAACAGAATAGGCCAAATGATGAAAAAAAAAAGGTACAAGAATCCAATAAGGAGAAGAATGCCTTGAAAAGCTGAATTGGCCAAATGAAAAAAAAATAAACAAAAAATTCACTGAAGAGAAGAACTTCTTGAAAAGTAGAATTGGCCAAATGGAAATGGAAGTATGAAAACTCACCGAAGGGGAAATATATCTATCTATCTATCTATCTATCTATCTATCTATAGATATAGATCTATATCTATATCTATATATATATATATATATATATATATATATATATATATATATATATATATATATATATATTTTTTTTTTTGGTGAGGCAGTTGGGGTTAAGTGACTTGCCCAGAGTTACACAGCTAGTGATTGTTATGTGTCTGAGGCCAGATTTGAACTCAGGTCCTCCTGATTCCAGGGCTGGTACTCTATCCACTGCAGCACCTAGCTGCCCCAAAAATAATTTCTTAAAAATTAGAATTGGACAAGTGGAAGCTAATGACTGCATAAGACAGCAAGAAGTAACAAAACAAAACCAAAAGAATGGAAGAATAGAAGAAAATGTGAAATATCTCATTGGAAAAACAATGACCTAGAAAACAGATCCAGGAGAGACAATTGAAAAATTATTGGACTACCTGAAAGTCATGAGCAAAAAAAAAAAAAAAGAACCTAGACATCACTTTTCAAGAAATTATCAAGAAAAACTGCCCTGATATTCTACTGTTATTCTAGAACCTAAGGGCAAAATAGAAATGGAAAGAATCCACTGATTACCTCTTTAAAGAGATCCCACAATGAAAACCTCCAGGAATATTGTAGCCAAATTCCAAAGCTCTAAGGTCAAGGAGAAAATATTGCAAGCAGCCAGAAAGAAACAATTCAAATATCATGGAGCCAAAGTCAGAATAACACAAGTTTTAGCAACTTCTACATTAAAGAATCAGAAGGCTTAGAGTATTATTTCAGAAGGCAAAGGAGCTAGGATTACAACCAAGAATCACCTGCCCAGCAAAACTGAGTGTGATTCTTAAGGGGAAGGGGAGAAGGGATATTTAGTGAAATAAAGGACTTCCAACATTCCTGATGAATGGTTGAACCAGTGCTGAACAGAAAACATGACAGTCAAACACAAGACTTAAGAGAAGCATAATAAGATAAACAGGAAAGAGAAATAAGGGTTTCAATAAGGTTAAACTGATTATACTCCTACATGGGAAAATGATTGTAACTCCTAAAAACATTCTCATTCCTAGAGCAGTTAGAAGGCATATACATAGACAGAGGGCACAGATGCGAGTTGAATATTATGGGATAATTATCTAAAATAAAATTAAATTAAGATGTAAGAAAGAGGAATGCACTGGGAGAAGGGGAAAGGGAGAGGAAAAATGTGATAAATTATTTCACATAAAAGAGGCATGAAAGAGTTTTGACAGTGGAGGGGAAGATGGGAGAAGCGGTAGGGTTGGGGGAAGAGAGCAAGTGATCTTTAATTGGAATTGGCTCAAAGAGGGAATAACATACACACTCAGTTGAGTATAGAAATCTATTTTACCCTACAGGAAAGTAGCAGTGTAAATGGATAAGGGAAGGGGTGTGTGTAGCAAAGAACGAGGTAGGTAAAAGACAGATGCAAAACATTTTTGAGTAAGAAAAGGGTGAAAAGAGAGAGAGAATAGGATAAATGGGGGGAAATAGGATGGAAGGAAATACACAGTAATCAGAACCGTGAGAAAAAGTTACAGCAAGTTTATCTGATAATGACCTCATCTCTCAAATTTATAAAATTTGAGTCAAATTTATAAAATTAGAGCCATTCCTCAATTGATAAATGGTCAAAAGATGAATAGCAGTTTTCAGAAAAAAATCAATCTAAATTATATCTAAAATCATATGAAAAAATGCTCTAAATCACTACTGATGAAAGAAATGCAAATTAAACAACTCTGAGCTACCACCCCACACCTATCAAATTGGCTAATATGACTGAAAAGGAAATGACAAATGTCGGAGTGGATGTAGTAAAATTGAGACACTAATGCATTGTTGGTGAAGTGGTATACTGATTCAACCACTCTGCAGAACAATTTGGAACTATACCCAAAAGGCTATAAAACCATGCTTACTCTTTGACCAAGTAATACAGCTACTACGTATGTATCCCAAAAAGATTTAAAAAAAAGAAAAAGGACCTATATGTACAAAAATATTTATATCAACTCTTTTAACAGTGGCAAAGCATTGGACATAAAGGGGATGTCCATCAATTAGGGCATGGCTGAACAAGTTGTTGTATATGATTGTGATATAATACTATTGTGCTATGAAAATGACAAGCAAGATTTACTCAGAAAAACCTGGAAAGACTTACATGAACTGATACAGAGTAAAATGAGCAGAACCAGGAGAACACTGTACACAGTAACAGCAATATTGTACCATAGTAAGCTGTGAATGATTTACCTATGCTCAGCAATACAATGAACTAAGACAATTCTGAAGGACTTATGAAAAATGTTATCCATCTGTAGAGAAAGAACTGATGGAATCTGAATACAGATCAAAACATACCTTTTTTTTTTGCTTTTTTTGCCTTTCTTCTTTTATTTCTTCCTTCCTTTTTGTTGTCTGTATTTTCTCTCACAACACTACTAAAATGGCAATGTGTTTTGCATAACTGGACAAGTATAACCTATATTGAACTGCTTGCCTTCTCAATGAGTGGGGAGGGGAAGGAAAGAATTTGAAATTCAAAACTTAAAAAAAGTTAAAGATTGTTTTGCATATAATTGGGGGAGAAATAAAGTATTAAATCATTAAAAAATAATTCAGAAAGTATGATACTGATCTCTAACTTTTACTGAGAAAAGACTGAGAAATATAGTATAAAGACACTAGGTAAGGGGAAAAATAACTTTTTTTCTGACCCTTTCATACCTGCCCTTACTGGAGCAGAAGTAGAGAAGATTACAGGGAAGACACAAATAGGACTTCTGCATCTCATTCTGACTCCTTGACAGATCTGTGGCCACCAAGCAAACCTTCCAGAAGATGTTTTTCTTGGGTTGCATGACACAATCCATGACTCAGGAATTCAGTTTTGAGGTCATATGAACTAGGTGCAATCTTTGCTAGAGTTTGGGAGGCACCTACCAAAACTCATAATACTG